TTCAGGACGAGACCAGGTTTGTGTCTTAGTGAGAGAGGTGATACAACGCCTATGAGAGAAAACAAAGACTATAGATCACAATCACAAATCAACACTTGATTCAATTATCTGATGATCAGTCAACAATATCATTGCTTTCACGGTGCCAGCACTGAGAACAGACAACTGTTTAACCAGGGAATCTATCGGAAGATTGACAGCACTAACAAGTGTGAGAAAGAAGCCACATTTCCACACACGTCACATCAAAGAGCAGAACAAGCATGACACCATTGAATCTGACTTGCTGAACTTGAGTCACCCTCACCGATGACCCCTTTTATGGCTTATGAGGAGCTTCGATCATGAATGCCTCCGATTTTGCAGCGCATGGTTAATGGTGACATTTGGCTGTCGGGGCGCTCCGAGTAAAAGCGTCCCGCACACACAGTGGCCTGCGGCTGGGGCTCTAACAATGGCCGGGGCCCACAGTGGACACACACACTTCCAGCTGTGGCTGACCATCCTGGCCTCTTCTCCGGCTCCCATGAAATTGGAAATTATCAGGGCCGTTTCTGGTGACAAATCATTGTCTGTGTGTTCCTGCCACTTTCCGAGGAATAGACCAGACCGAAGGAGGGAAGAAACTCTTTTTGATGGGACTTGAAGGCTGACCTCATCACCCTCGTCCTTCAAATCTCTGACCCCACAGAGATGGACTCAAAGTGTGGCCTGAGGTTGACTCTTTTAAAGTGCTACATTGATCTTTAACCGTTCCCACATTTCCTGCAGAAGCATCGAGACCTTCAATATACGAAAGGGAATGCTGGCTTCCTCAATCTACCCATCTGCACCATTGACTAGAGCTATCGACCATAGTCTATATAAATTAACTCAATTAATAACTTTTTTACAACAAAAATGTACCATCACTGAACTTACTTAATCTGGACTATGACACCATTTTCTTCTAGATCTGCTGTACAGTCGAAACAAACTTTGTTGCATTATTTTCCTGGTATCACTGTAAAGCTGCCTTGAAACAATCTGTATTGTAAAAAATAAAGCTGACTTGACTTGATATAGTCAGGTTAGATGCCATATTGGATTTCACACATGCAAAAACATGCTGTGAGGGATAGACTTAAGTCTGCAATATATATTGGTGTGACGTTATTTTGAACAAAATCAGGCAAAACGAAGTTCATTTCTAGAGTTTGAAAAAGCTTGCCAAAGTGAATTGACTGTTCTTCATATGTAATACAGTAAAGCTGCTTGCTTTAAAGCAATCTCTTTTATTAAGTGATATACAAATAAACGTGATGTGACTTGATTGGAGTTCAGAATTTCTCAGAATCAGATGCTTTCATATCTGTTTTCATTTGGGTTGTGTTCATTTTTGTTACTGAGAGGAAAGCATGCATCAAATATCCACATATTCATCTAAACGCCACTCTCAGAAAAGTGGATGGCATCGGCATCGGGATGTTTGCTGACAAGTGTATTGCTGCAAAGGTATTTCAAACCCCTTTTTATCCCTAAGCAAAGAACAAAAACCTGAGTTGAGAACTGCACTGACAGTGCATCAGGGCATTTACAGACGTTACAATAGCACGCACTGTGTAAAAGTCATATAGGCTATTTACACAATTTTCAAAACTTATACATTTCAAAATTGTTTTATGGAGTTTTTGTTTACTGAAAGTTTTTCAGAAAGACATATCATCAGCAGAACTTACAATCCAATGAACACCCTGTACTTCTGTAACTCATTCCTGTCCAAAATGACATGGCACCCTGGTCCCTGATGAAGGTTTATTCCCTCAAGGCTTGTGAATGGGATGTGTATGGTAAACCTGAGGAATCTCCACTGACCTGCAGCTGAACTCTTCTGTACCCACAGCATCTTTACAAACTCATAGTATGGCCAAGGAAGGAGGCAGTATTTGTTTATAAATAATGTTCCCTTTAGAGCAATCACTGCTTGGCTAAAGGCTGAGGAAGTGAGTTGGGCTCAAGGATGAGGAAAACAAAAAGATGAGGGGAAAACAGCAACTGCCAGTTATGCTGCCAGAGGGCCTGGTCTCAACATCAAACCTCTCTCGCAAGAAATAGGCTACTGCAGTACTAGTTTTGTATGTTGGTTTCAAAACCCTCTTTGAAATTTGAATAATTTAAGTTTAGTTTGGATTCCTGCAAACTGAAGTTACAGTGGCTAGCATAATATGTTTGCAGTAAAATGCAATAAAAGCACATTTAGCTTATGAAACAGGAATCCACAGTATAGTCAACTAGCTGAAAGGTTGAACTTTGTGTTCCCAGGACAAGTGTATTTTTCATAAATTTCACATTGGGGCAAGATGAGACATATCTTAATTTTTATACAATGGCAATGATGCAACATTTTTTTTTGAAAATAACAATTGTTAGGCATTTCTTCTAACTAACCTTTACCATTTTTTGCTGTTTAATCTGTCATTTTTGCTGATACGCATATTTGACCATAAACAGTCTACTTTCCATTAATTGTTAATGGCTTTTTATTGACAACACGCCCCATTCAAATTATATCCTTTTCTTTGTAATCAAGAATTTAAAATTAGTTTAAGAAAGTGATATTAAAAATAAGCCTAACCCAAGATTTATTTACTGGTCGAGTAAAGTGTGACAACTTTCGATCGCTCGATCTTATTTATGTGCCATGCATTCGGTACGCAGAGCACCGTGGTTTTACCAGGGCATAATATAAACACACAATTATGACACTTTGTGGCACTTTCAATACCAGTCAATAGCTGATAGATATAGCCTAACCTAAAATATATATATATATCAAATGTGGTTAGTCAAACTCTCCCGTTCAATGTATTAGCACTTTGCGTTTCATACGATAATTAGGCTAACGTTAGTTAACAGAAACCGTAGAGGAAAAAACAACAATTAGCATACAGTAAAAGAAAATACCTTATTTGAAGACTTGAGAGGATGTGACTGAATCTATAAGCGCTACCTGAAGACTAAAAAAAAAAAAATCACATAAGGAAATGGTTTGAAGCAACTAGTCGTTAGAAACAGCTTTAGCGTCCTCTGCTGCTTATCCTCAGGAATGTACGTTGCTTTGCAATGTTGATTGCAAAGCAAAATTTCCGAAAAATATTAAAACTCCTTAGGAAATTTACATTGGCAACACCACAGTTATTATCACAGTCTTACTTTAGTAAGATTTCCTTTTTTATTTCCTTGTGTCAAGATTCTTTTGAACTTTATAAAACTAAAAAGGACAGAAGTAGCTAGGGATTTCACTTCTCTCAATACACACAAAATCAACACTATTGTGTGTAGCCTATAATATGGATCAAATCACCTTAACGCTCTGCAGGTACAGGCGATCATAGACAAATGGAAGTTCTGTGGTCCTGTAAGGTTTTCCCGGTGGTCTACTTGGTATTATCTTAAATTTCAGTCCAAAAGACAAAATCGTAAATATCATTGTTTAGGTAGGACAGATGAAATGTTTTCTCTCGGCAAACAAGCGTCTAAAAAGATAAAAATGACTATAATAAACAAATAGAGGATTTCCTCCATATATTCTATTTACTTCAAAATGCATTCATGCAATATAGAACATCATGTCAAGCATTAGTGAAGCAATAAATAGTTTAGGCCTACACAAAATCTGACCACTTGTTTGTTTGGAATGTTTGGGGAAATTATTTCCTTTGACTTCCCTCTTGATATCATAATTTCTGCTGGTTGCTAAAGGTTTGGGAGACATGGACATGATGACTACAGATTTGACATGATAACTAACAGCTTGAATATAGTTCTATATATGTCCAGACTGCAGTGACCGTTCTTTTTCCCCCCATGTCATGTAGACAAAAAATGTTTTGCTTTTTGAATATCACTACATTTTATTGTTGGTTACTCATAAAAAATGGTTAACTATAAAAATAAAAAAAAATAAACAACCGACATTTTTTCTTTTCCCTTTATATGTCAAAACAAATATTTAAAACACTTAGAAAATCAATATTTTTCAGTTATTTCTTTTTTCTTTTTTTTGTACAAAGAGGTTAAACACAGAGTCTGACAAACCACAGGGTATCAATATTCTCATCTAACTCTGCTTGTTTTGAGAAACACTATAATTCACCGGTTGTAAACTTTAAAGTGACCTGACAAGAGACAGCAAACACGATAACAAACTAACAGCTTGCTACAGGAGCATGAAAAGCCAATGAATCTTTAGAATGGAATGCAGCATTTTTCAAAATGGCCATTAAACATTTTCATCTTTACGTTTAACTACTTTGAAATGGTAAAAAAAATGTTTATGAATTAGAATCTCGCTTTGAAAACTCTTGTTTTGCCTGCTGAGAGGGAGAGATTGACGCATATCATTGGCTTTTCAGGCAAGACAAGTAGTTTGTTTAGGCATGGTTTGTAGGGAATTACAAACCTGCGCACATATATTCAAACGCACATAACTATAGAATCAATTCTTAATGCGCATGTGAACGCCATCAGCGTTTATCACAGGTTCGCATTTAAAGTCTGTTTAGAGAAAACGGTGTCGTCTTAGCGGCCCCTAATTTAATAACAAATGATCATTTCGACGGAAGTGAATCAATCAAAACTAACTTTAGCTGGAAAATAACATTAGTCAAGAACCGCTATAAAACCAAACCATTCTCTGTTACCTTAAATTATATGTTTATCTCTGTAAAGCTGCTTTGAAACAATCTACATTGTTAAAAGCGCTATATAAATGAGGATGACTTGACTTATAAAATACCCAGTGTGCAGTAATTTTCAACACAGCAACGATATCAGTTGAAGTCCGGGCTGACCCATGAATAAACTCAATGACATCGACTCTCCATTTTACTTCAAATTCATTTTGTGATTAACTAAAATGGCTTAAATGAACTCGAAGGCAAAATGAAGTATATCTCTGAGGATGCGTCTTTGGTACACTGACTTGCAATTGGCACCGAAATAAAAAGGCAGAGAAAATGGCAAATTAGATGAATTTGTTATTCGTTCAACGTGGTCGCAGCTTTTATAACATGGATGTTCCAGATTTTCAAGGGGGTTCTCAAATAACAGAATCTGACCTGAACCTTAGAAAATAAATATGATAACCTAATATGTCTAAAAGTGCTGGTAGAAATAATTCAGTAAGCACGCAAGATGAAAACATAGACAGTGCATGGGAAGTGGAGAGCAGGTCATTCTGTTGGTCCTTGGGGATTTTTGTGAGGCCACGTCTCAATTGGCTCTTTCCTCTCTAAGTAGTGTACCTGCTTTGTGTGATAACTGCACAGAAAAAAATTTGCCAAAGGGCAAACTACAGAGTGAGCCGTTTTGAGTTCAGTCCCGTCTCACCAATCCTTCTTCTTCTCATCCATGGACACTCCACCTGGACCTAGTGCTACTATCAGCAAGAGGCCACCGATCACTGATGTGGTCTGGAAGAAGTCGTACTTGAGGAAGTCGTGCATGGGCTTGTAGGTTGGTATGGTCCAGAAAGCATTGAAGTACACGTTGATGGCCAGCAGCCAGATGACCAGGGTGAGGGCCGCCAGTTTAGTCTTGAAACCAACAGCCACCAGGACAATGAGAGCTGTACCAACCAGGTTCTGCAAAATCTGAAGCAAACACAGATACTTTAGAAAAAGGAAGTCAGTGACACATGTGACTGATGTAAAACTGTAATACAGGAAGGAGGATTCAAAACTGCAGAAATCATCTATGCAACTGAAAACCTGTCCACGTCTGACCTCAAGTGGTGAAAAGGATTACTACAATGGAGAAGACACATCTCAGAGACACTGGTTTTGGGACACATTACATTTTGTGGTGACCCAACACTGGGAATAAAAACGGTTTAAGATAAAAAAGTAAAGAAAACATCCTCAAATTAAACATTGAAATTATTATTATTATTATTATTATTATTATTGCTGTGAACTGCATAGGCGTAACAATGGCAAGTTATCCATGTTTGGTTTCCAAATACTCTACCGTGCAAGATTTTGGAGTTAGTAAGAATTTCATTCAAATAAATTAATACTTTTATTCAGCAAAATGCATTAAATTGATCAAAAGTGACAGTAAATACATTAACATTGTTACAAAAGCTTTCTATTTCAAATAAATGCCGTTCTTTTGAATTTTCTATTCATCAAAAAATCCTGGAAAAAAAATGCATCACGGTTCCCACAAAAATATTAAGCTGTGATGAGAAGACATGTTTCTTGAGCATCAAATCAGCATTTTAGAATGATTTATGAAGACGGAAATGAAGGCTGCTGAAAATTCAGGAATCACGTGAATAAGTCACATTTTAAAAATATATTACAATAGAAAACACTTATTTTAAATCGTATCATCTCCACAGTATTACTGTTTTTGCTAAATTTTTATCAAATAAATGCAGCCTTGGTTGAGCATAACAGACTTCTTTCAAAAACATATAAAAAAAAAAATTCTTACCAACCCTAAACTTTTGAACGGTAGTGTTTATTGCGGTTGACAGACTTGGCACAAACCATTTGGAAATCTTCATCGCAATTGTACCTTTAATTAAAGTAGTCTGTGTCATATTGTTTTATTCATTGTGTGTAGTTTTGTTTATGTATTTTGAAAATGTGCCTATGTTGTGCAATATGTCACCTAATATGGATGTCAGATGAAACCGCAGCCTTCAGGTTAACTTACAAGTCTGACTCTCTAACCATTAGGCCACAACTGCCCAAAGAAGCAGAGCCAGCCAGCCAGGAGTGTCTCAAAATTGTTCCATGGAGATGAATGACATCAGTGCTGAAAACTGTCTAGCCATTATAGCTTTAATGTTTGCAAACCAAACAAGCCATGAGCAGTTTCTATTATAATCCAACATTTATACAGATAAACTGAATCAGGTTTGAGAAAGCTTGCATTTCAGGTTGCATCATGATGCAATTGGCACAAATCCTCAACCACAAACCCACATCCTGAGCAACAATCACAACATCATCTTTATGACTGTGACCTGCACAAAGAGCTGAACACAGTGCAATAATGTTTTAGACGTTCTACCAAGTTATAATATACTGGGTTAAAAAACAAACATTTATAATGTTTTAGACGTTCTTCCAAATGAACGGGTTAATATGCTTCCATATGCTGGGTTAATAAAAACTATAAACAAAAAGGAGTCTCCTACATTCAAAGACATGCAAACAGAGTCGACTGAAGTTTTATATCAAGTATCTAAGCTTGTTTCTAAAAAGTGTTTAAAGGTAAATACATATTCATTTTAAAAAGTGTTGTTGAGAAATTTTTGTAATATTCTAAAATGTCATTTTGCTGCAAATTCAGTAGATATTTTTACAAACAAAAGGAGCCAGAAATTTAAATTCTGTCATTTACTACTCACCCTGGTGTCGTTCCAAACCCATACGACTTCCGTTCATCTTCGGAACACCAAGTTATTTTAATAAAATCTGAGCCAGTTCTGTACTCTCTATTGATAGTCTACGTCACTACCACTTTGACGCTTCAAAAAGTTCATAGAGAGTTCATCCATATGAATTGAGCGGTTTAGTCTACATTTTCTGAAAAGACACAATCGCTTTATATGATGAACAGATTGAATTTAGGCTTTTATTCACATATAAACATTGATCAGTGGACACAAAGAAAAGCTCAAACGAACCTGCGTTACAAGCGAGAACAAATCTCATTGGTAACACACGAGAATTAACTTCATTGGTTCTCGCACGTCAAGCAAGCATACTTAGGCTTCTGTTATCATAACTGATGTGTGTGTTGATGAATCACTCAGATTTTACTAAAAATATATTAATTTGTGTTCCAAAGATGAACCAAAATTTTAAAGGTTTGGATTGGAATAACATGAGTGAGTAAATGACAGAATTTTATTTTTTAAATAAACAAAATATACAAAAGTTAAGATTTTTACTTAATACTTTAACTATAGGGTTAGGGTTAGGATGATGGTTTGGTTTAGGGTTAATTGCATGTAATTATGCATCATTTATAGTTATTACTACAGTAATTACATGTAACGTGTAACAATTACACTGTAAACTAAAGTGTTACCTAAAAACCTTAAAGAGGTCATGAAATGCAGTTTCAGATTTTTATATTATGTTTCTCGAGGTTAGTTTATAATGTTTGCAAAGGTTTTTTTTGCACCAAAAAAGGTTTTAATTATTGGATGAAGAATAATTTAAAAGGGTAAACGGATTAATCACATTTCTTTGCGATTCACCCATTTACAAGGTTGGACTAAATGTAACAGGTTGGTTTGCTCACCGAGAGGAAGCTGGTATCAAAGTGCAGCAGCGTCATGAACATGAGCACCAGCAGGACTCTGCCTCCGAGCTGCATGTACTGTTTAGGAGAACTCTCTCTCATAGTGGGAACACCAGCAAACATACTCCTGCCCTCAGAACGTGACTCAGCAAGGAGCAGCAGCAGACCTCCACCCAGAGCCAAATTCCTGAACACAGAGGAGAGAAGTCAAGAACGACGAGATCAGGGCATAAAACATAGGATGATCTACTGCAAAAAAACACTTACCTCATCAAAAACTTTGGGTCCCAAAGAATGCTATAGGCAACAGTCTGGAACAGATAAAGATCAAGACCGTAAATAAACGGTTTAACTCAATTAAAGTCCTATCCAAAGATTATATCTAATTACATTTTAAAAAACTCAAACAGAATGCTCACACCTGTAAGGCGATGATCCCAAATAATCCAAAGCAGGCATATTGCACAAAATTCCGGCTCAGGATCAGTATACAACCACCTTTAAAAGAGAAGATTAATAAAACACTTTTATGTAAAAATTTGAAGATGGTCCAACCTGAATAATTTAGTGCTGAACAAACTTCTTACCCAGCTGTCCGAGTAAGTTGATTAAGACAAACAGTGTGGCCAGAAAGAACCCACATCCCCACGTCGTCTCAATATATTCTTTCTGCTCACTCCACTGGAACCACATTCGAATGCCGTCCTCCAGGAACGTGCTGATCAGACAGAGACGCGCTATGTGGGGCAGGTATTGCTTCGTCACTCGAAGGAACTAGAGATGAACGAAAAGACAAACATATAAAAAAATCCCCAAATCTAGGTATGAGCGGTACAGGTATAATCATGTTAAATGGTGTAAAATGGTGTCAGATTAAGGAATTTGATAAAGGAGGAATTTCTCACCGGTCAATCGACATGTGACAACACCAGTAATACCGGTATCACAACAGCATTTTTTCCCTCTTATCCACCTCGCTTTTAAATGCCGTGCACATTTTACTTTCGCTTTCGATTTAGCCGCAATTGCTTGAATGGTGGGTATTATTCTTAATGAAAAACATAACAACAAAACAGTACAATGACAAACTCGCGTATATTAAACATATAAATTATTTAAAAAAAAAAACATGGCCATACACCATGAAGGAAAATTAGCAGATTGCCTTAATGTTTGCAGGTTTCCTATTAGCATTGGGTTTAAATCCAACATATTTCCCAAATAGTCACTTTTACAATTTACTTTGAAACCAAATCTTCCACCATCGTCTTCTTGACAGTCAGCTCTCCTCACTCTAGTCATTTGATAGATGACACTGCTGCATTCATTTCCTGTTCTCACTGTAAAGCTGCTTTGAAACAATCTGTATTGTAAAAAGCGCTATATAAATAAAGGTGACTTGACTTGATATGAAATCTGACTCCTGCTGTTGATCTGTGGTGCGATTTTTGTTCGGCTCAGACTGAATTAAATAGACGCCTTCAGTTTTTAATTGTAGTGTCTGTTCTCTAACTGAACTAAATTAGTTTTATTACTATAAGAAAAATGCAGTGCCACGGTGGGCAAGTGATGTAATCGGTGTCCACCTGAACACCGTGTAACACCAACTATCGCAGCAAGCCAAGTAATTATACAATATATTTCTGCTTTCCTGTATTTTTTTTTTTTTTTTTTTTACAAACCTCAAACAGGAATAAATAGCAAAAAAAATATTAATCTATTTATTTCCCTAGGGTGAATGTTTTAGATTTACACAAACTTTATATTACATCAAGTAAGCAAGCAAGCGCTGAGGCAGCTCTTCAAATGCATGTTGTTTAATGTTTAACCCCTGAGCTCCAATTACCCTTTTCACTTTTCCCTACATTTTAGTCAATATCAGAGAACAGGTGGCCAAAAGCACATCCATTTGCAACTGATGACTCATGATGAGCACAAGTGCAATGACTCCAGAATTTAAATATCACTGTGGTTTACTAGCAATAAATCTTTTCCACTTCCTCATAACAGGTGTTGAATAAAGATGGACAGGGAAGAAATAAAGATGCTGCAATTTACTCTTACAGGATTATTACATGATCTTTAATTCTCATTGCTTAATGCCTTAACCTGTAATAAGGACAAGATTGTTAGAATATAGCCTATTATATTGGTAAATTAAAATATCAACTTAATTCATTCTTCTTAAAAGTTAAATGAAAGCAAGAAGTAAACTATAGAGTATAAACTATAAAAGACCATGGCAAACTATAGAATTCTGTTCTTTTTGAATAAAAATGTGCTGATTGTAGGATTACTAAATATATATATATACACATATATGTGTGTGTGTGTGTCAGTACAAGGCAGGTTTTTTTTTTATATGAGCAATAACACTCTCTAAACATGCTTGTGATTAACTCAAGGCTTATTGAGAGCTTTGACACTGGCCTCTGCTAAGCCCCGCCCCCAAACGATCCACATCAGCACTAAGAAGACAACGAGCCAATCAGCATTCAACAAGTACCAAGCAAGACTAAATGAATGGGGAAAAGATCTCAGGGCCAATGTCTGCCTGTGTGTCAACATTTCTCTTAGTCTGCATGCCTGGAGGGCATTTGACTTGTTTCCATGAATATCACAGATTTGTTCTCAGTCAAAAAAGATAGTATTACTGAATTAGAATTGTATCAATAAAAGAAAGATATGACTTTTAATAGTGTTCCAGTTGCCATGGGATAAAACCGGTTAAAAATAGAAAGAAATATAGCCGTCATTGGCTGGGATTTAATCAATTTACCAAAACGACACTGAAAATTAAGCTATAAATTAATAAACTGAGATGATGATGGCACTAATGGCCTTGAAATCCCCAAAACTGATAAACCAAACAACTCCATTATACGCTTCAACAATAATGACATAATCCTAAAGTTGCTTCTTGTTATTAAGCCCAAAATAAGCAGAAACTACGCAGCATGAAAAAGAGCCCCAAAAAACATTCATAATCATACGAATTATGCACATTTTGCAACGTAAACAACATAAACGCATTCGATTAATGTCCAGCTGTCAAATTCCTTTTAAAACTGGACAACAAAACCTAATCTTTTCCGAATCAGTCATCGTATGGGAACTATCAAACGAGTATAGTAACAGTGCATCATTTACTCTTGCTTCATCAAATGCACAGATGTGTGACTCTGCACTGATGCAAATGATTTAGAGATAAAGTTTGTATGACGTTCAAACATTCTGGAGACGCAAAAATACTGTATTTATATACCGCACGACTGTATAAATACATGTCATGCAGTCCTTATCAGTACTCGAAAACAGCCCTGGAAAATCAAGGTTTTGGCACAGTTCTTCTAGACAGTATCACTAGTTCAGTTCCTCCATCTGGGTCACAAGACTGGAAGTTAGTTAATAAACAAATCAAATTTGCAGTCAAGCAAACATGACCCGAACTGTACACGCACACATGGACTTTCCCGAACTTAGGAACCGTTTGTTTAGTGAATCAGTGTAGTCTCCATGATTTAGTGTGCAAGTTCCCTTCCCTGGCAGGGCCTTCTGTTCTCTCACCTGATCCGCCACGTCCTCCGCGTTACTCATTAAATCATTTTGAGCCATGACACCAAAATCCAAGAGACGATTTCCGTCTGCAGGACACCTTAGATTGATTCCGTTCCGTTTATCGATACCTATGTCAGCTACCCGTTGTGTTACAGGTCTCGTACTAGACTTGCTTCACCGTCGTCTGTGTGTACTAGAATGCCATCTCCGCCCCATAATGCCCTGCAGTTCGCTCTGTCGCCCCCTGTAGGACACACATATATGTGCATGCCACGTGTACTGATGCAGCCAGAATATAGAGCTCAAGCAGTGACGTCTCTCAAGCCAGTGGCGACTGGCGAGGCCAGAAATCTTGTTTTATGATGGACCTCTTTTTTTCTATATAAAACATTATATTTTTATTACTACTTATATGGGTTTAGATTTTTAAAAAGTCTGATGATTTTTAACAAATTATTGTCAAATTTATAACAATGAACACAATATCTGTGTGGATTTAAAAAAAATTTTTTTTTACAAAAAATCTGTTCTACTTTATATGCAATTCTGGACAGTTTTGCTTCCTTTTTTCCACCAAAGTGGAGGTGGGCAAGGTGCTTTCAAAAAAACTTTTGGGATAAACACATACTCTTTAACCATCACAAACTGTCTGTGAGCTTACTTCCTCTGATTCAAGATTTAAATTCATAGACATAAATATATGGCAGCATGTTACAAGATTTTGAATAAGAATGAACAATTAATTACAATTCAATTAACAAAATTAACCTCTGTTAATAAATGTAGTAAACACTGCTCTTCAACAATTATAATATTATTGATAATTATATATAAAACAAAATGTAATGAAAGCAAATAAGAATTACAATATTTCTGAATTTAAATAAACATTTATTTTACAATAATTACAACTGATTTATTTTTCTCTCTCAGGTTTTCTTCACAGAAACACTTGGACTCTTATGAGCATGAAAGGTATTTTTTGTTTGGTCTTTGCTGACGGTCTCTTTAACCTCAATTGGTTTTGTAACATTCTCCTCTGAGTTCAACTGTGATACATGACACAAACTGAATGTGGGTGTTGCGTTCACATTTTCTTGCTCTTCTGAGTAATGCACAGGGTCAAAGGATGTCTTTTCTTTTTCACTGGACTCTGTTTGCCGTAGTTGAACACTCGAGTCAAGCCTATTGCTTTCTTGGCAGCGTGACTCTTGGCTTGACATCGAGCCACAATGTGGAGTACATATTAGATGCTTCATGACCACGCAAGGTTTCTTTGGAGCTACAGAGGTTTTTGAGCGTGAGGTCTTGGATTTGTGCGCTCTTTTAGATGGTTTAAGCTTCCTCGGGTGTAAGTGGTCCCTTGAGGAATTGATGTGTGATCTATTGAGATCTGCTTGGCTGCTGTCAGAAATCATGGTTTTATTGGCGCAGGAAGCAATGAGCTCCAGGCCACGAGGGTCCGCCGTTGGGCTACTACATGAGGCATCACTCTCACAGTTCTTCTGCATCTTCGGGGTGTTATGCTTCTGAAAAACAAATACAATAAGCATTTTGCATTGCATTAGCTCTATTAACAGTTTATAAACTTTTCTTTTTATTTTTTTTTAATAAAAGAAGTTCCACCTTACATTATTTACACAGACATGTTAGTCAGTAGTGAATGTAGGCCAATGCAGAATGTCTAATTCTTGTTGGGAGCATCCTATAGGTTTTTAGAAAGCGGTATTCAATTTAGAAATAAATTATGGTCTGGTTCTGATTCGTCATGCACAAAGTCATATGTATAGTTGTAGTACTTAAGTAGAAATTTGTACCTCACACTAAAATTTCAAAAGTTTGAGGCAAGATTGATTTTTTTTTTTTAAAGAAATTAATACAAGGATGCATTACATAGAGTAAAAGTGACAGTAAAGAGATTTATAATGTTCCAAAATATTTCTATTTCAAATAAATGCTGTTTTTAACTGTTCTATTCCACAAATAACCCTGAAAGATGCACAAAAATATTAAGCACCACAACTGTTTTCAACGTTGATAATAATAAGAAATGTTTATTGAGCATATTAGATATAGCATATTGATTTCCAAAGGATCATGTGACACTGAAGACAGGAGTAATGGCTGCTGAAAATTCAGCTTTGCCATCAAAGGAATGTTACATTTTTAAATGTATTAAAATAAAAAACAGTTATTTTAAATTGTAAAAATATTTCACAATATTATGGGTTTTTTTTACTGTATTTTGTAACCCAAACTTTTCAACTGTAGTGCAAAAAAAAAAAAACTACAGCAGCTTCAAAATGATCATTTGAGGTATGACTGTGTTATACTATGTGTAAAATTTTTTGAATGTGTCACTTTTAGACAAAACTATTATTGTAGTACGGGCAGCACAGTGGCTCAGTGGGTTGCACTGTTGCCTCATATCAAGCGGGTTTTCCCAGTTTGAGTTCCGGCTGAGCCAGGAGGTCTTTCTGTGTGGAGTTTGCATGTTCTTCCTCTGTCTGAATGGGTTTCCTCTGAGTTTCCCCCCCAACTCAAAAACAGTAGGGTGGTTGGGACACTTTTTGCCATCATCCTGAATTCACCTTATAGGTTAATGGGAGACGCCAAATTGAGTGTGAGTGTGAGTCCCAAGCCATGTGATGGGGATGGTTGGGGAAAGACCTAGCGACCTACCTCGGAAAAATCATCGGCAAGAAAATTCATGAACAGTCTCTCGCGTATGGCAAGAGATAGAATCTGATACGACTGAAATTGTTAATGAATGAATGTAGTATCATTGATTTCAGATTTGCCCACCTCTTAAATGCCACGCACATTAAGGAAAAACTGCATATACCACTGATTCCGTAATTTTCCTTACCTGCAAGTTCTGGAAGTGCATAAGAGACCTGCAGTGAGTTTCCCGTGCAGAGGACTCAAAGTGGAAGAATTTATGACAGAGCTTACAGAGGAAACCAGCGACAGGCACCACAAAACTAGTGCCTGAGGGTCAGAAAGCAGTCAGAACTGTTAAGTTACTCAGAAACTGTTCTTTGACAATCTAGAGATGTGGTTGAAGCTGAGGACTCACCATATTGTGTGTCTGGATCATATGTCTCATTACCAGTCGTCTCTTCAAGAGCAATCTCCCTGTGAGCAGGATGCTATGAAAACAATTCAAGTAAAAACTCAAGAGTACCAAAAGAAACAAATTTAGAGGAGCACATGAAGTCATGCAACAAACCCTCTCAAACACTGCAACCTCTTCTTCATTTCTATCCTCCTCATAATCGTCTTCCCCTTCAAAGCAGCCAATAGCATCCACAGTTATGAGCTCCTCCATAACCTCTGGGCCGCCCTCGTTTCTTAACTGTAACAAATGAGAAAAGTCTTATTGATGTCATTCAAAGCATTTTACATTCAAATATCTACACAAATACACACACAAACCTCCTCAACCCTCTGTTTGTGCCCAGGAGACTTCATATGCTCAACAAACTTGCGAGGGGTCCTAAAGTGGCGCTCACACAGGGTACAGAAAGGTCTCGAAGACACTTTTGACATCTAACGAGGAGACAAGACAGCATTTTTATACAGTCTGTGGTTTAAACTCTACTCCTCAAGTATACGTGGATATTATTTGCAGTGATTATGGTAAGATTTGTTTTGTTAATGTTAAGGTCACCTTGTGTTTCTTTGTTCGTCTGTGCTCAATGAGGTCACCAGAAAAACGACACTGACAGGTAGGACACCAGCGCTGGTGACCCATCCTCCTCTCTCTGTTACAGAACAAAAATGAACGAACACAAAGATTACAATTCTATGAACTTGGCATGTTCTTTTTTTCTCTCGGCTCTCTCAGACTGTCATTGACTCGACAATAGTTCTGACGTTGCCACAGAGTAACAGTGTTCATTTACTCTTATGAGTAAGTCAACTTATTAAAAATACACCCTACACCTTTAAAGTATGGAGAGCATCACTTACCTGTTTGTTCCCTGCAGGGACTCCTGGGTTTGGGGTAACAGTGTGGCCAGACAGGTGTTACTCACATGCTGGATTTCCATCATACGTTGCTGATGATCTAAACTGATCATGTGAGTCTGGAAGCCCTGCAGAGGTCAAACCACTTCACTAAACACCATGCTCAACTGACTCTTCTCCTCGTTTACGTACAGTCAAGTCTTACTTGCTGGTCAGGACAGGTGATGTTGCAAATGTAGCAGGTGAATTTGCCTGTGTGTTTGCTTCTCTCTTTCTCGCCATCATGGCCTGCAGCTGCTGCCATCTCCTCAGGTGAAGTGCTGAAGGCTCGACACTCACTGCTACGCTGGATAGTCACCTTCAGAGATGTGCCAACACCCTGCACCTGAAAGACACAGCGCTTAAACGAGTATTCCAGGTTTAATACAATATAAGCTCTCGTTGATTAAGTGTCAGAAGTGTTCTCTTGAGGTGGAGTTCTTTTCAAGACAGATTAATTTCTTGTTATTATATAACTCCTATTGGTGGAGCTTCATGATTTACAGAGAGTTACATCATGTACCTTTCTGATATCCTGGATTACCAGGTTTACAAGGTCATGAGAGAAACTGAAAGACTACATACAGCTTTGCACAGACACAGTTGGTAAGTGACTATAACATTAGTCTTATGCTAACACATACACTACCATTCAAAAGTTTGCAGATAAAAAAAAAGTTTTAATCAGCAAGGATACATTAAATTGATATTAATTCTTTTGAACTTTCCAGTCATCAACATTTTTTTTAATCAGTTTTCATATTAAGCAGCAAATCTGTTTTCAAGACTGATAAGACATGTTTCTCTCGCACCAAATCAGCACATCAGAATTCATTTCTGAAGGATCCTGTGACACTGAAGACTGGAGTAATGATGCTGGACATTCAGCTTTGCCATCAAATGAATAATCACATTTTATAACATATTAAAATAGTTAATTAAAATTATATTAAATTCATTTGAACTTTAATTATATTTCACAATGTTACTGTTTACTATATTTTTGATCAAATAAATGCAACCTTGGTGAGCATAAGAGATGTCTTTCAAAAACATATATATTTTAAATGGTGGTGTATAATGTGTCTTGAGCTGCACAATTGGACATGCATTACTATACATGTGTCTTTTGTTTATACAAACTGATGTTCATCTGAAAGCATTAAGTGTAAAATTATTATTGTAAAAAAAAAAAAAAGAGTAAATTCAGTGCTTTTTGTATTCAGTTGCATTAATTGAGATGTACAAATGTTATTGGGAATGTCCAGAGGTAAAGATGGAAATATATTACTGATTCTGTGATACTGTACCTCTGCTGCTCTGTTCTGATCAACACTGTCTTCTTCAAGCTCTGCAGAACCGTTATCATCCTCTGCATCATTTAGAGGGGAAATAAAAGTATGTTCAACATTTAAACACTAAAGACTCAGTAGTATATATTATGTTAAAGTTGCAGATGAAGAGTTTGATAACAGTATAACTGAAAAGTAAACAAAGAGAGTGGCATTTTTTCAGTGGATTTGTGGTTTGCCTGAGGCTAAAGAGACAAATACAGCAAGCCGCACACACAGTAATACCTTCATGGTCTGAAACACTTGCAGAGTTTTGTGTCTGCTCTATCCTATCTCCTTTTCCAGACTCTTCCCCCAGTGCAACTGGTCTGTTCAAAATAGGCAGTGAAGTTTTGTGAGTATGTCACATGAAACACAAAAACAGCCTCATTCATTTTAGTCCATCTGCAGTGATATTACCTTGATTAACAGCATGACATCAAGATGCCAAACCAAACCACTTTTAACAATAACAGTAAAATCAAGATTACCTCTGACCTCTGTGCTTTTTCAAAGGGGGCTCTGCTTGTTCTGGGACAGCAGAATGAATTTGTCCAACTGTACCATTGGGTTTATTTAGGGCATGAGAAGGAACTTGTAAGAAGGAATTTGACAATTAATGCACAACTGGTTAATAGTCTACTGTAAGTAGAGGGGTCTCCTCAAGCATTAATGTGTACTCACCCACTTTTCCGATGTTTGAATCAGTGTTCATTTTTCTCGTCTGTCCATGACTTTTCCCAGCTATGTTTAGCACATTCTCCTTCTTTCTGTCTAGGCTCTGCACTGTAGGCTCCTTAAATAACAAAATAAATGTGAAACACGGTCAATGCTCCTTCATATCAGTCGACCCAAGTAAACAATCAAAACATAGAGAATGCTTTATAATTTAATACACATTAAAGGCCAGTTCACACCAAGAACATAATGTAAAAGCCATTTACGACAAAAGGTCATGAATATACAATTTAATAACAAAGATTTCATCTTCTTCAATGAAAACCCATCTGAAAATTTCACTAATGCCACCCGACAACAATTTCACTCAATTTTATATAAAATATAAGCCATGATGTGATAATAAAAATTTGATTTACAGTGATATAGATGGATACAAAAAGAGTGGCATGTATATTAAATATATAGTGGCTGGCATGTATATATAAAATGACAACAATACAGGTGTTTTTTGTTGTAAAATGATGCAAGGTAGGTGTAGCGTAAATAAATATATTAAATTCATTCCCATTTTGCCCTGTTTGTTTCCTGCGCCTGAATAGTGTCAGTGATGTATTTGCTCACAGATGTACATGCAGGACACATGACCTGAAAGCAATTATTTTATATAAAAAAAAAAAAAAAGTTGTTGGACCCATTTTCAATTCAGCAAATTCTGAACCTTGGTGTGAATAGTGATCGTTCACCCCTAAATCATTATTTACTTACCCTCATATTATTACAAAACTGTATGACTTTCTTTCTTTTGTGGAACATGTGTTTTTTTTTATTTATTATTTGTCCATACAATGAAAGTCAATGGTACCAAAACTATTTGGTTACCAACATTTTTCAAAATATCTTCTTTTGTGTTCACCAGGAAGAAATAAACGTCATACACATTTGGAAAGACATGAAGATGAGTAAATGATGACAGAATTTTCATTTTTGGGTGAACTAACCCTTTAAAGATGTTAATATGTCCCTATTCGTGTAAATCTATGTTAATGAGGAAAGACAGTTACTCTACTGATGTGTGATCCACATGGGTGGGGACAACGATCAGCCACAAAGTTCATGCAGAGGTCTCTTACTGGAACGCCTATAGGAGGAGGCCCAAGAATAGACTGCCTGACTCCTCCCTCTAGAAATGCTCTTGACACCAGCTCGGTGTGACTGAATGACATATCTATAATGATTCAGAAAAGGGGAAAGACACAGAATATGAGATATTATATGAAGTTATACACAGGGGTTTGTTAACTAACAAATGGATATCGTTATAAAACAGTCAAATCTAACACATATTCCCCTGGTTTCACAGACAAGGCTTAAATGCATGTTTGAGCTGTTTTAACTGAAAGCAACTTGTTTGTTTTATCTCAAGATGCACTAAAGTAATGCTTTTTCTAAGGCACATTTATAAAAGCTACTTAAATGCCCTAATTGATCTAAGGCTGGCTTAATCTAATCCTGGCTTAATCTAAACCCTGTTTGTGAAACCGGTCCATAGTATAACAGCAGCACACAGGATGAGGTGGATCTTTTACCTGGCATTGTGTGCATGAGCCCACACTGTTGCAGCATGGGATTATGGCATGGTCTGATTGAAGCAAGAAGGGGAGAAGCATTTGGTGCTGGTGGTCTGTTATGCAGGTATTTGGAGAAAGACAATCACATGACAAAGCAATTATTTGTATTTGATTATTTGTTTTACAGTTGATGCACATTCATTAAAAAGCACAAATCCAGGCAATCATTTAAAGCTTTCAAAGAGATGGCAGTTGCAAAAGGTAATCTGATAATAATTGTCTGCGGGTATCATGTAGTTAAATTTTCCACCAAATATGAGCCCTTACCGTCTTCCAGAATGCACATGCCTCTGTTGAGACTGCTGAGGAAAACGACAATCAGGGGAATAAGGGAGTGAAGCAACTGGTGCTCCTTGTCCGTGAGGATCTAACTGGGCTGTTCCAGACATCTTTTGCATGTGCCTCTGCTGCTGCTTAAATTTCTTAAGCTGCTGCTTCTGCTTGATTTTCAGCATTCTTAATGCTAAGATAAAATTCAATGATCCCAGGTGCCTATTTAAAACAGGGAATGCAAACCATTCAATTTGTATTTATCCAAAGCAACTTACTTATTAGGAACATCACTAGTAAACTACACGTAAATCATCCACAAGTCTAAAACAATAGTATTACCATATACTATTGTTTTAGACATGTGGATGAGGCATGGGTAGTTTGCTAGTGATGTTCCAAATAAGTTATATAACACACACACTATGAACAAACAAATGTTTTCAGCATAATATAATGATTTCTGAAGGATCATGTGACACTGAAGAGCAGAATAATGATGCTGAAAATTCAGGATAGATTACATTTTAAAATATATTCAAATAAAAACAGTTATTTAAGTTACTTCAGGATGGGAATTATTTTCATCCACTGGGTTTTGTAATGTTAGACATTCTGTTAATCTTGCAAATTCCAATGGTGTAAATAAATAAGCAGTAATACAGTTGAAGTGGTTAAGCGTGCCCAGAGCATATTTCTGACAGTCTTCTATGTTTTTTTTAACATAGATACTTCGTTAAATTAAAACACAAGTATATTCATTTTAAAATTTAAGGCTCAAAAGTGTTGCACTTGAAAATGAATGTAAGAGAGTGCACTGCACCTCCTGACACAGCAGAGACAGATCTGATACTAGCCCGTGAGCTCTATAATTGCAATGTACAGCACACATTTCACGCCTGATTTGTGATTAAAACAGCCAAACAGAAATGTTCGAAACAGCCCACCTTTTGATATGACAGCCTCAGTACATCAATGTTTATGGTAGATGACTCTTCCTCTGGTGCTGTGGTTTGGAAGTTGTAGACATTCAACGCCAGTGCGCCCTCACCCGGCTCGGAAGAAGAATTTAATTGTCAAGAAAATTGGTAGGCTATTTGTTTAAAAATTAAAAATGTGTGTTTGTATGGTTTGTATGTGTACACTGACAACCTGTGTGCAATAAAATACAATAAAATAAAGTTCTGTAATTGACCCTTTTCACGGACTGTGATGATGCGTTTTTACGGTCATCAGCATCAAGTTTTATATATTTTCATTTAAAACATTTTTTATGTACACTTATAACACTTAGTATTGTATTACCATCATCAAATAACAAAAAACAAGTTAACACTGTTATGCTGTTGCGAGGGTGTTTCTAATAAAGTGGCTGTGGGAGTGATGGTAAAGCATCTTTCTTTCTTCTGCCTTTATCAATCTCTCTCTGTATCTTTTTGAAAGTTGTGAAAACACTGTTGTTGAATTTTTCTTTTGCTTTTTGAGCAAATGGGACCACAAAAAATATATTTCACGTATTCTCTCATTCACCGCTGTAGAATTTTACCCAACTATGACGACTTCCGTTTCTGAGAAACCTGGAAATTGATGCAAGTTGACTTTACTGTAAAACCAAAACCGCTTTTGTAAAACACCTCTCAAGAGAACACATAGGCTATATGGCTTGAAAATGCTACTTTAAAATGCTCCATCACTGGTGCTGTTTTATATTTAGTGCCATTCAGGTTTGATTTGTTTTACAACAACAATTATCAGAAACATTTTATTTTAAATTATTATTAATGCAAGAAAACACAATTACAATAAGGCAATGTAAAATACCTATAGAACAGAGCACAACTCTGTAGAAATGAAACATGTACAGCAGGATTCTATGCCATTTAATTGTCTGTTTTTACTCCTTTCAATCAAAAACAATGTGGGATGCAATTAATATGGTTTTGGATCAAAAAGTCTCTCAAAGTAAACAACTTTAAACCTTCAGTTTACATGCAAATGTTTTTATTTATGACCACACACTGTTTGAACAGCAATTAACATCACATTCACGTAGGCTACATCTTCCATTATTATACCAAAAGTTATGTAATTGTTTTGAAAATGAAGAAATTCAATTTATTGTAATTTTAAGCCACTCAGACATGTCAAACCAAAAGGTTATACTAGTCAAAAAACAAATGTAGGCCTACTCTTGTTTCAATTTCAGAATCACAGAAAGTGCAATTATTGTGATCCATATTAAATCTATATCTAAGATGTTCTAAGGATGGGTAAATATCGTTAAAAGTTTTAAGGCTATACTTCCTAAGCTTTGGGAGGTAGATATTAATGTATAGTTCTTAATTTATTAATATAGCTATTTGAGTCACATTATTTCGACTAACTTGATTTGGAAATGTGTCTTGGGTTAATAAAGTTCTTATTCATTTGTTTGGAAAACTACTCATGACAAAATCCAGTCCATTTATTTTTAAAGATGGTAGATGAAGAGCTTCAGTTACATTGGGCACTGCATTTCTAACCGACAGAGCAAAGGCCTTTGGAATACAATTCAAAACCTTATGATATCCTCCTGAGACCCAGAAAAAAAAAGTTTTTTGAATTTAGTTTTTTTCCATGTCATCACACTGTTTAGAGCACAATAAACAAATGGTAAAAAAACACATATATAAAATAATATTTTATTCATACGTTATGCTATGTCCTCTGTAGTGGACGCCAGGACTAAGTTGTTTAAAAAATAAAATGACATGAAATTATATGTATAGGCAAAAACAATGGGATTTTTTTTTCAATCACCAATAAATTTTGGGGTTTCAGGATTTTTTCAACCAAAATTTGTATAAAGATTATTCTCAACTATGTTATGAAAGAAATAATGGAATGAATTGATACACAATTTTACTTTTTGCAATATGTGGGTAAAATGGCCATAAATTAATATTCCCATTCAATGCAATGTATCTATACACTGTATCTAATTTGCACATTAATGTGTTCTTGGAGCAACATTTAATGAAAAAAGAAGTGTAACAATTGGAGTAATTATTGGCAACATTTTAATAATATCATCTAATATTTCATAGGAATATTGATGTATAATTTATCTCCATATTCACTTGTTGTGTCTCCCAGAATGCCTGATAAACATGGTTTTAGTCCTGATGTCCTCTACAGTGGACACGTTTGAAATCAATGCCCTGTTCTGTAACAGAAAGTATTTTTTTTATTTGAAACCCCTTAACATTTTCCTGAGATGTTTTTTTATGAAATACAATTAGAAAAAGTAGTCCAATTTAAATATAATTACAATATATTATCATATTTCCATAAGAATGCTACATTTGATCACTAAATTAATGTCAGACATTTTTAAAGACCAAGGAGAAGTTGTTTTCATGGTGAAACCTCCAAACATTTGGTATCTCTGAAAAGTCCTGAATGTGCTCTTTACAGGACACCCAGGTTGTGTCATGTGACATGTATGATGTCAGAGAAATTCACTAAAATATAATGTCCACTACAGTGGACAAAAGTCTATTCTTGGGTCCCAGGAGGATATTGCTTATAATCACATTGAAAATTATAGCTGCTTTTCACAGAAAGTCTTGTGAAATGATCACAAACATAACATTGGAACGGTAATTTCAGTATGCAATGCGCCCCCAGTGGCTGGAGACGGTCTCGCAGCATCCAGCGCTTCATCACCGCATCGCTCCCGCAGATAGTGGTGAAAAGAACAGGCAGGGAGCAGCGCGTAGAGAGGACGCATGTCCATTCGCCAAGGTGCCTGCAAAATTAAAGGAAACGCAGCAAAGGGCAGCTTTTAGATATTGCGAGGCCTGCAAATTAGGTCTCAGACTCTCAGTTCAGGGTCAATTACGACATCATTTTTAGTCACTGTGAAATAGAGCCTATTATTTATTTCACACGATGGGCAATCGGGGAATGGAGGACTTGATTCCTCTGGTAAACAGACTGCAGGATGCTTTCTCTGCCATCGGACAAAATGCCAACATGGATCTTCCTCAGATCGCGGTGGTCGGTGGCCAGAGTGCTGGGAAAAGCTCGGTATTGGAGAACTTCGTTGGGAAGTAAGTGACGGATGACATAGATGGACAGCATCACTCTACATCCATCGTGACATCCACTATCCCTGTATCATTAATTGCTCTTGAACGGGACACAAGCATTTTCAGTTATCACTAAGGCTATAATGCATGTGCATCTATAATAATATAGAGAGAATATTATCAATGACAGTGAGAAGCTCATCTGTTTTTAGTCAGTTTACGCTTATAAAACAGGAGAATTTGTTATACATTGATGCTTAACTGACAAAATAAATGTATTTTACCATGATTTACTTAATGTAAAACTTAATGTAAAACATGCAAACTTAACTCAGTCTCTCGACATGGACAACCGCATTTGGCAGCAGCATCGTGAAGGAGAGTGACAGGGAATGATGCTCATGGCTGACGTGTGTGTCCTCGCGAGGCCATCATACTAGCGAGCTGCCTATCTTCACCAAACAACAGCATTCTTGGGCATCATATGCGCGAGCGAGCTTATGTAGGCTAGGAAGAGAAAGGATCTTTGTGAAGTATTGTGTAATATATTTTTAATTTACGGGCTAGAGTAACAGCTAATTACATATACCTCAGATAATGTTAATGTTTCCATTAGATTTTCATGGTTTGGTTGAAGATAAACAAGATATAAAGGCATTCAGAGGCCGCTGTGATAAAAGGGACCTACGTCCAAGGTTTAATGTTCACCGGTCGCTCGGGTGTCAGAGGGTATGTGAGCCACAGGGCCAATCTTCCCTGCTTTTTGTTTTCTGTTCACCCTAGTCAAAATCTTTGAGGAATGCTAATGGAATTTTGTGCATAAATTGGAACCAATATTATTAGGACCAAATAACAATCCTTTAAAGGGATAGTTCACCCAAGATAAAAATTCTGACATTGTTTACAAACCACCATGTTGTTCTAAACTTGTGATGATTGCATTTTTTTCTTTCTTTTCTTTATACAATGAAAGTGAATGGTGACTGAAGCTGTCATTCTGCCTTTTGTGTTCCATGGAAGAAAGTCATACAGAACAACATTAGGCTGAGTATGTCAGGGTTTGGTGAAGGATGAGGCGAGAACTCAAATGCAGAGCACTGGGCTTTTTATTAATAAAAATAAAACAAAAATAACAAAATCTACCTATAACAAGGCTTGTCTATAACAAGACAGACAACAAGACAGGCAGAGAGACTTGGCAGGATAATGACACATGAGGGTACCTTAGGCCCTGTTTACACCTGGCATTAAGATGCGTTTTGGTCAATCAGATCACAAGTAGATGAGGGAAACACATACCCGTTTACACCTGGTGTTTTAATTCATCTCTTTTGTCCCCTTTCAACCACTTCTGTCCTGATTTCTTTGAGGGGAGGGTAAATGTATGTTTTCTTTCGATCTAATGAACAAAATAAGCTCGCACAATTTACAAATGAATGCGAAAGGAGACGATAAAAAAAAACATACAGAGAGCAGCAGCTCTCATGGTCTCAAGACCATGGAATGATGAGAGAACATTGTGCTTGGTGCGATTTTCGTCTGACTTCAAACCAAATTTGGGTCTTTAGCCGGCAAAGTTTAAATCCCGTCAGCAGGTGGAGAGAAAGTGTTTTTTTGTGGCTTTTTAAACTAATTCGACCACATGAGCATTTACACTACAAAATCAATCCGATCAAATGCATTTTCGACTACTTCTGGAAGTGGTTGAAAGTGGACAAGCTCAAAACGTTTTAGACCCCGTTTACACCTGTATTTACTTAGCATCCTCCACTTGGGCTCCAAATGACCAAAATGCATCTTAATACCAGGGGTACACAGAGGACAGGTAGGGAAAGTTAACCAATAATCAGATGTGCGGGGTTAAGACAATAGACAGGAGAGCAAATGGCACAAAGAAACAACATGAAAACAAACCAGGCACTCACAAAACACACGAGACAAGATCGCACGGCGAGTGAATAAACACACAACCCATGCGCTCACACAAGAGACAAAACCTGGAGCACGAGTGTCCGAACCCCAACGCGAAAACGTTCAAAAGTTTGGGGCATGTAAGATTTTTTTAATCTTTCACCAATGCTGCATTTATTTGAGCAAAAATTTAATAAAAGAGTTATGTTGTGAAATATTATTATAACAGTTGTACTGCTTAATATTTTTTGATAGATTTTCAGAATGATTTGATAAATATATAATATATATTTGTAGCAAATTCTTTACTGTCACATTTAATCAGTGTAATGAATCCTTGCTGAATAAAAAGTATTAATTCCTTTTAAAAACATAACTTATTGACCCCAAATAGTATGTTAATATTAGAAGGTTAATATTGGATTCTTGTTGTCTTATTGCACATCTTATTCTCTATAAGCCTAAATCTGCCCCAGGCTTCTTAAACAGGTTTACTTATTAACATCCTTTATCTCGTAAGAGCATAATTATTTTGTGAGCTCTGATGAGCTCTGCTTGTTTTCAGGACCAAGGACAGTTCTTTAAAAATATGTGGACGTGGCTCTGTCTTGATTTAGTTACTATTATGTCATGAAACAAGAGGCCACACAATTACTTGTACCCTATTGTGTTTGTACTGATCTCCTACTTCTTCTTCCTTATTTTTCTGCCTTAAAAGTGTATGGACGGCAGTAGGGTTGGGTGTCGTCAGAATTTTAGCGATTCCATTTCCAATTCTTACCGGTTCCCATTTTCGATTCCAATATGGTAGAAAAATAAATGAATAAATTAAAGTCAAACATTTAGATATTAAAGACATTTATTCAGTCTTTTTGCAAAACATTCTGTTGCAGCTGAATACCATAAAAAAAAAAAAAAAAAAAATCAGCAGCAACTAACTGTCAGGTTTGGGTGCAGGATGCCGAAGACGAGGACACGGTAGCTACAGTTTAGGAGATTTATTTTACAAACTTAAACTTCCAAAAACATACGGGAACAAACTCCAGGACTTCAAGACACACACAACCATTCATGGACGACAACCAACAAACACTGAGGGAAAACACAGGGCTTAAATGAACAGGGACTAATGGGATAATTAACAGAACACAGGTGAAGGGAATTACTAATCAGACAGAGCGGAAAACTAACAGGACTGAACCAAAATCACAAAAGAATGGGGAAACAAGATCTCAAAACTGAACTAATAACAGGACTAAACCAAAATCACAAATACAGGGGGAAACCAGATCACAAAACAGAACTTAAACACATTGAAACATGACACTAATATGCTAGATTAACTAATATAAATTTCAAACATTTTTAAAAGTCAGTAATACAATAAGAATAAATAAGCAAATTAGCACTAGCACAAATAAATACAACTTAACAAAGTTCAGATATTAAATAGAATGTTGAAATGAAATAGAAATCGTTTAACATTATAAATGTCTTTACTGTCACTTTCTATCAATTAAATGGATCTTTGCTGAATAAAAGCATGGCTGAACATATGGACGTTGTGGCGTAGTGTGTGTTACAGAGTCCATAAATAGATTCCAGAAATGTGTGTTGACTGTTGACAGATTCAATTTGTCTGAAGAAGACACACAGGCATATCCGGGCCGTGGCAACGCGACACAGTGTCTCATTCCCCTCTCAGGGAACCAAGTTACATATGTAACCAGAGATGTATTGACGATAACCGTGATATTTCAAATGAATAGTACAGGCATGATAATATTACACAATAGTTGCCATTTGTCATAAAACACTAGCAGTCACAGCACGCAGTCGTCGGATATGACAGACGAGACACTTTATCCTGACAAGTTATCCTGTCAGTGTGGAAGTTTTTTGAATTCCGCGAAAATGACTCGTTAATTTGCCCAGTCTGCAGGACTTGCTGATCAACAGTGAGAACAAAAGGGGTCAAAACCACCACCCTCTTTACATACCCCCGCCGTCATTATCTTTCAGATTTGGCCACTGTACAGAGAGTTAGTTGCCATTATTTTGCTTGTCCTGAAACAGGAAATGTTACATTAACCTGTTAACTGCTGACGCCTTTCTGTGTGTTATTATTCATCCCTCTGACTTTAATCCAAAAGTGTGCTCATTTAGATGGATTATCCTACATTTACTTAAAATATCTTTGGAAAAATATTCGTTTTTTTTAACCCAAATAGGATGATGTGAACAGTATGGAGCACTAAACTCTCAAATTTAATTTATGTTTCATTCATTCTCGATGCTCAAGGGTGCCCTCGCACAGAAAGTCCACAAGTGAGACTCATGAGAAATAGGGTATTTTCATAAGGATAATGTATGTTCTCTTACGAGAGTATCTCTCGTACTACGTAATATCTTACGCTATGGGGAAAAACTCTTTTCCACGAGATATTGAAGCCAAAAATTATCTTTAATTTTGAATTAATGTAAAACGCTGTGCAGCAGCATGCAGACATAGGCAGGACGGCTCACGCGCCTATTGGCTGCCCTTCTGCAACAGCAGCAGCCTATCGAGAGAGGCGCTGCGTGACACCATATCCAATGGGGGCATTTCGCGCCCATTTCGTCACGTCCCGCCAGAAAGGGCGTGGTCTCGCCCTATAAATATAGCTCGATAAGGCTGGTACACTGATTTTCATCTCTTCAGCGAAGCCTCTCGCATCGCTGGATCCGGAGTGAGAAGCCGCGCCGTCGACGCAAGCCTTTCAGCGGGACGAGCTTCTGGAGTCGCTGGCCTCGCCGCCTTCAACTGCCGTACCTGCTGCGCTTTCCGGCGTACTATATATCCTTTACTCTGCTCTGTGTGTATGTGTGTGTGTGTGCTCGCCCCGCGATTCACACTTCTATCATCTAAAAGAGCCGCGTCTTTTTAAAGATGCCATCCTCCTGTGGCTCGTGCCGAGCCACACTCAGCGACGGGGACCGCCATGTGATGCGTTTCCTGCCTGTGAGAGGATCATGCAGCTCTCGCGCTCGCCGACGGCGGCTGCCCTCACTGCGAGCTATTGCCTACGGTGACATCCTTCAGCGAGACTGCACTTCCACCCGCTGCAGTG